TGCCAGTCACACAACAGACACCAAATAAGTTGTTGCTGACGCTGTTCATATGTTCCTTATGAGAGAGTAGAGCTGGGGAGCATTAACATTTTTGGATTGCAACTCCCAGAATCCCCAGCAACTACAACCACTGATGGGCAGAGACTGCAGTTTCCCAGAATTAGTTGCCACTGGCCATGTTGTCAAGAGAGATGAGGTCCAAAAAGGCATGCTTCCAAGCTCTGCAAAGGAGAAAATGAACCTGCTCCTTTGTTCTTCATTGTGATGTGACAATGAGGCTTTCCAAAAATTATTTTGTATTTCACAGGTCAGGAGGCAAACGCCCCTTCCTGAGAGAGAGAAGCATCCCAGCCAAGATGACCCGTCACCAGCCGAAAGGCGTGCCCCTGAGGTTCAACTTCCGTGCCACAGCTAACCAGGTAGAGGAGGCTCCAGAAGGGAACTGTGAGGGCAAACAGAAGCAGATCCCTATTGACAAGCTGCTAGTCCTCAAGGGATTTGAGTGAATGTGGAAATGAACACCAGAGAGGTGCCACCAACATGGATGGGGCTCAAGCGGAGGCAACAAGAATTTGTAGTTTTGTAATTTTGTAGATTTGTTGGTTTTGTGAGGCAACAGCACTTTTTGGCAGAGAAGGCTGCAGACCTTGCCAAAGTACCAGTCCCAGGATGGACCTATAGCATTTAAAGTAGTATCAAACTGCATTATTTCTACAGTGTAAATGCACCCTTAGGACTTACAGTCACTTTCTGAATTTTCTTTTTCAGGTCCACTCAGTCTGAGATAAACCTGCCTTACGACTGCAGTCTTAACACTCTTTTATAATTTTCCTCCTTAGACCAGCTTGACATTAAATGAACGGTTCTCTGGACTGAGGAACAAACGCTATTTTTCTGCAGTACGCAACACGGGTCGAATGGTCACTCTGCCCTAACGCTGCCCTGTTCGGTGGAAACCAGTCCTAATCCAAACAAGAACGAGCCTCTGGGATCCATCTGGTTTTCTTCTCCTCCCTGGATGGTGGCCTGGATCACCCACATCTTGCATCAGAGAGACCTCCATCATCTCAGACTGGAAAGACTTCTGTCCATGGTCAGGGGGCTACAAGGGTGGTTGGAGGCTGACTCTTTGTCCAACGCTCTCTCCCCATGGACTGATGTGGCTGCCATAAAGGGCCTTCTGTTTTTTACCTGGTGGGTTTGATTTATGACACTGCTGCTCAGAGTGAGGGTCTATGGCCCAACACTGATTTGGGAGCCATTGGCTACCAGTCTGCAGTGTATTTCCAGAAAAGTTTGCAAATGCAATAATAAAAATAATATGGCACTGGTCCCTGGCACATTGGGATGAAAAGATTGCTGTTGGTTCAGCACATGAAATAGCTAAAGAAGCACAAATCCATGGCATATTCAGGTGCAACCTTGTTTTGTTTCAGGATCTTAATGGGAAGACAGATGCTGTGGATGATCTCCTGGGCCCTGTCCCAGGGGACTGCTTTGCACTGATGTAGATTCAAGTCAACTGACTGGGACTCAAGTTGCTTCAGTGACTCAACTTGGACTCAACTCTGCAATAAATGATGCACTGGCTTGACTTGTGACTTGTATATTTTTAGCAACTGACTTGGTGGCACCATTCACTTTGAGCAGTAAGCAAGACTTGCCTCCAGATCTCTCCGGGGCGAGTTTCTTGGAGGGGAACAGCAAATGGGTTAGACAACAGGCTTGAGGTGGAAGGATCCTTCTACAGCTTTTCAAAAGCTTTCAAAGGCTCCTTTGATGTACAGCAGGAACAGGCTGCCAAGCAGATTTCAGACCCATTGCTTGGCATTTGCTGTTCCCTCTGAGAAACGCACCCTGCCTCCTTTTCTTCTGGCTCTTAGACTTATGATTTGAAATTATCTTGCAAGGAGAAGGGAGAGGACGTTGTTTGCCTGGCAGCAGCATCTAACATCTTCAACTTCACTGCAATGATGTGCACTGGAGATGGATGCTTAGCCCCACTGATGTGGGAGTTGCTAGTGACCACTACTAGCCCCCAATTGTCACCTTGTGAAGTTGGGCTTCTCTCCTTCTCCATCTTTTCCTTTTTCCCCATTTAGTCCTGGAAAGCACTTTTGTAGAGTTATTTGAAAGATTTGATTGTGAAGAGTTGTAGTGCACTGAATAAACCCACTTTTAGAAGCTGAAATGAAGAAATCTGCTCAATTCTTTCTCTTGTAACAAGCGCAGAGTCCAAGGCTCAAGCTGACAAAGGGCCTAAGATGGCAGAGACAATCGTGCTGGGGGTGGTGAGAGTTGTATTTCCAGTCTCCAGGTAATAAACTGTGCCCTGATGGCAGTTTAGAAATGCCATGTGCTTTTTAATTTAGACACGCAACCAACATTCTGCTTCCACAACCAAAATGCACACTGCTCTTTTAGATTTATGTTCAATGTGCTTTTGAGTTGGCCCAGTGAAAGTACCGCTGTTTATGGATTTGGGATTTTGTTGTAAATATGTTCGGTGTGGGTGTGGATGTGTACACACACAATGTGCTTTAGAAATCAACCGCCAGATGGCATCAGGTCCCTGTCTCTTAGCCCATTTCTTCCTGCAAACCTCCAGAAAGGGCTTTTCCAGCTGCAAAATAATTCCCTCCCTGTGGCTTTCTGCTTGTCTGATCTGGCTGGCTTCAAACAAATGATTTTTGGGCTCCCCTTAAGAAGCCTGGACACTGCAGAGAAGTGATAACTTTCCCAAGATCTGCATTTAGCAAGATGGCCATTGTGATTGAGGGATGATGGGAAATGCAATCCAAAAAGTCAGTTTTTGAAGCTCCAGTCCCCACCCATCACTTCCGTGTTGGCAAACTTTCATGATCATACTCATAATAGAACTTCGGTCCCTTCCCTGGGAGATGTAGTTTCTCTCCAAAGTGGAGGAAACTTTTCCTTAGTTCAGCAGCTCAGAGGGAAGATGTGTTGGGGATGTGAAACCCTTAGGTCTGAATTACTCTCAAGAAAAACAAGCATGAAGGAAGAGGCTGGATTGGTAGCCATTGTGTCCTTTACTCGCCTGCAGGAAATTCAATGAAAAGTGATTGCTTGCACAGATGAAGGGAAGCTTCAGAGGATCTCCATGTAAATAATACACCAACCCCAGACGCACACACACAGAAATAGAGAACTTTTGAATGAAAGCAAAAGCAGGTGTCCTTTTCTTTGCCTGTAACAATGGAAGCATGCAGTCACAATGCAAACATCCAGCCAGAAACCCTGGTTGCATTTCTTGCTTGCATTACAAACCATCTATTGCTTGTTTTCATTTGGGTGACAATAACCTCTGAAGACGGAAGTCCTGGGATCATGATTTGCACAGTGTCTCTATCTGCCTATATGTTGCAGGCCCTTGGGCGAGCTTTTCAAAGACCCACAGCCCAGATTTGGAGAGCCACTGGGGATGACAGAGGCTTTGTCCCAAAATAGGGTTAACATGAACTGGTGGGTATGTTTTGAGTAAGAGATTAAGAAAGCCAGGCTGTGATCCTACGCCTAGGAATGACAGGGTGATGGATGGGGAAATGAAAAAGATATGGGGCAGGAAATAAAGCCTAAAGTTAGGGAGTCTCCACTGCATTCCTCCATTTTTACACCTGCTTAAATCACACTCTCTCAGCCCCAGAGGATGGCAATGGCAACCCTCCTCTAAAGAAACTTGCCAAGAAAACCCTAGATTCGCCTTAGGGTTGCCATAGGTTGGAAATGATACGAAGGCACACCACAGCAATAAATCTAGAGGAAAGAAATGGTCTCCATCTTGAGACTGAATCTAGATGTAGCGCTGGCCTAATATTCATAATTCTAGCATGGAAAGGGTGACCAGACATCCTCCTTTCCCAGGACATGTCCTACATTTCAACCTGCTTTTCAGTTCCAAAAAGTCTTCCATTTTGAGCATGATTAAGAAGCATGAATTTATATTTATATTAGTCTTTCTAGCATTTATTTTGTAATGTCCTGCATTTTATGATGCCTTGTCCTCCTTTG